GGCCAGGAAAAGAAAATTTTCTGTTTCTCGTTTCATGGAAATTTCAAAATGAAGCGACGAGGCGTTTGTTTTTTTGAATACTAAGCTAAAATGGGAGAAATTTGAGACAAGTGCGAGTACAAGCGCATTTTGGAATGCTTTAGAAGGAAAAAAATGTCTGAGGCGCATAGTTCAAAATGATGCGTGGAAAGAAAAACAGAGATATTTTTTTTCTCAGCCTAAAATACTTTATTTTCGCTGGAATTAATTTTTGCTGAAACTACTTTTGGAGTGTTTTGTATGGGATTTATTTTCCCTGACTGTTGATGAGATGAATCTAAAATGTAAGAAAAAAGGTACATCACTTGAATCATTCCTTGAGCGAAAATAACGAAACTAAAGTATTTTACAGTACAAAGTATTAATGATACCTAATGAATATAGTATAGGTAAGGATGTTACCGACAGGCGATAGGAGCAATAAATATGCGTAACAAGACTGCTACTAGTTTATTAATAACATGGCTGAAGAAGTAACAATAACAACAACGAAAGTGTATACAATAACTATAATGAACTCGAGAGGGCGCTTCACAGTGCTGCAGTCAGTGTTCTCATTTAGGTTTCAGACCTTCATTTTGTTCTAAAATAGGCATCACAAATAGTTAAATTTTTGACATTTCGTCATAATAACCAAAGTACTCGTAATAATATTCACTGGTTTTATTGGTAATAATGAATGTATAGAACAAGTTTCAAATAAAAACACATGAATGCATTGGTGTAATAGCAAATGATCATAGTAGTGAAAAATGACATGTAAACCCAGATTAAAATATATGGTCACCTTTTTGCTCAAAAACACAGGTCAAACATCCATGAAAATGGATTTTAAGTCATTTACCATTAGTTGATACAGTATTGTAAAAAGTTAACAGCATATCTCAAAATTGTGTTTGATTGAACATATGGTATGTAGTTGTAGAAAGATAGTTGCCAAGAATTAATAGGACATTTTGATGATTACTATCATTTTTTTCATGCAATTATGCTTTATCATGGCTTCCCACTAAAATTGTTCGAAAATGGTTCGTTTTTGCATGTTTTTAAGGAGTTTTTCTCCAACCAAATATTTTGTGCTGGGAACATATTCTGAAAAGTTGATGTCAAAATCAATAATTATATGACACTTTTTTTTAGCTTGTATTATTAGGTTGAATACCCATGATATATTTATATTCTTAGCAGGTATCTAAGCTTCCATCTAGCCCTCGAGGAGAACTAGAGCATGTAACAATATCTGTACTGCGGCCAACCAGTGCTGCATCTCATGTGTCATCAGAAAAGTCCATCACGCAATCACCAACGATGATCCCAAAACTCCCACCAGCTCCGTTTGTGAGGGTACCATCACCGCCGCTGAGAATTAAAAGTGGTAAAAAGTCACAAGGTTCCAGTCGTATGGGAAGCCCAGTGAAGAGTATGGGCAGTCCTATGCCGACATCAAGTAGAAAGTGAGTATACCGTGACCAGATTTGTATTGTTGTTGTTGTCTTACACCTTGTGGTTGTTAGCCTGGCACACACAGCTTGTTATTAATTCAGCGTGACACAGTGAATCAATTTCAGTTCAACTACATCCACCAGGAATTTTTACTGTGTATACTCAATCTGTTTGACCTTGAATTTGCACTCAACAAACTTTGCAAAACTACAAAGATGATGATAAGTTACATTACATGACAAAATCTCGGTAAATAATTGTATAGCTATAAATAAAAAATAACAAAAAAAATAATCCAATGGTTTTCTGTATAATTTATTCATAGACATGTTTAAATTTCTCTCCCTCACATCCAGGTCACTGATCTGCTATTTCGCTTTAATGGCAACACATACCAGAAGACATCGTAAAACTTGATAATACTTGATGTGCATATTAATTAGCTTATTTACATACCATTAAACTTCAATAAGTTTCATCTGTATGGAAACAGTTTGCTCAAATGGATTGAAACTTTCTACATGCATGCTGTTGAATGTCTAATATTAGTTTGAAAATGGATATGTATATAATAACTTATTTGCATAATAATTAATGTGTACCCCTGAAAAAAGATATGCACAAAGATGTTTTTTTTTTTTTGTCTGGTCTATTTATGGAAATCTTAAAGAGGAAAAAAATACAGGACTGAAAATTAATTCTTTATTAAAATAGCATAACTTTTCCTCCAAGACTTTGGTGCAACATTTTGCAAATTTTATTTTATTTTATTCAAAATTTGTGATAAAATATGTCCTGTTGTGAAAGGAGAGTTTAATTTGGTGTTTAAAGAGTTATACATTTGTCACATAACAAAGGTTTTCATCTCACATACTGTGGAATACTTTATTTTCGCTGGAATTAATTTTCGCTGAAAAGGCTTTTTGGGCGTTTTGCTTTGAATTTATTTTCACTGATTTTTCATGAGTTTAATGTGGAATATAGGAAAAAAAGTATATTCGCTGGATTTTATTTTCACGAAATCATCCCTTCAGCGAAAATAGCGAAAATAAATTCCAAGCGAAAATAAAGTATTCTACAGTATCTTACTCATTCCATCAAACATGTTATTTATAGTTTTAGAAACATAGTATTTGCTCTGTATTACCATAAATGCCCCTTGTACTGATTTCTATACACCGTTAATGGACTTAAATTTATTCAATCAATACACTAAGATTTTGTCATTAAGTTTGCTGTTGTAAGATCAGAACAATTTACTGGTATTACTTATTTTGTTTCAAATTATTGTTATTATTGTACAGTTCCAAAATATTTATGCATCAAAATAATGTAAGTATGTCGGTACTGGAGACAAAGGTCTGCAGGTAATTAACAATATTTTAGTTATTCTGATCTTACAACATCCAGAGCAATCTTATCGACATAATCTCACTGGTTTTCACTGTAAATTTGTACAAGCCAGTCTCCTTACCAATTTTGATTTTAACTTGACGTGTGTTTGTGTGTTACTTACCTACTCCATATCCTTTCCTCCCACTCTCCTGCTTGTGTGACTCATCAGCACGTCTTTCCGCTCACACCTACGCCGCCGTGTGAAATCCGCACAAAGCACCACCAGCGCTTACTCAGATTCTAGTCATGCTTCCAGTTCCGTTAGGGGATCACGACCGGGTAGTGCCAAGAGCAGCATTTCCAGTCTTTCCAGCGAGTTCCTGGGAAGTGCTCAGATGGAGAGTCTACTGCAGGGACTGCACAATGAGAATAAAGCTGGTGGATTCTTCATGACATTTTTAGAGAGAACGGAAAATACAGTAAGTATGGGTCAGAGGTCAAATTTGTGACCTTAAAGGGTGGCAGTCGTCGTGCTGCACATGTGCGACATTAGTGTTGATAAACATTGATTTTCCCACAATCCAATGCTCTTCTAATGCAAATCACAAGTATGAGGTTTGACCTGGGCGCGACTTGCACTAATTACCGCCGGTGACTCCTTCGATACCTTCCAATCACCTAAGAAATACCTAATTAATAAAGCCTGGTAACGTCTCAGTTTGTACTTGTTGATCTGCGCTATAGTCAAAGTCGCCATCTTTGTTTATATGAGACCCATATATCTTGCACATGCGTGGTGCGACGACTACCGCCCTTTAAAGTTCATACATCCTGGCTGCTGAATTCATTTGAATGTTCATAATCTTGAAACAAAATTTGTTCTTAATTAGAAATGTGGAATTGTCTCAATGTGAACTTTATTTGATATATTAGTAGTGTGTGCGGTTACATAAATTATAAAGCTGTTTCTATGATTAAAATATTTTAATGATTTTTTGTACAAAAATGTGATGCACTTCTGATAGAGCAATTTCTATTATAACAATGCAATGTTTTTTCTTTCTTTCATGTATGCTATTTTTAACACAAATAGCTAGATATAAAAAACAAAAACTATAATTTTCTTTAAAAAATCCTGAACTATTGTGAAACTGAAATATATTAAATTGCATAACATTTTGTTAAAGCGCTACAGTCATCACACGGCTTGTATTTGAATTTCATGTGAACAAAAAATATATTTTTCACATCTTTTTTTTTTGCAGACATGGATTAATTGTCTCCAATGTTGGCATGAGTTACAAAGCTACCATGAAAAGTTCTACGCTGAAATTTTCAACTCGTATGAACTAGACAAAAAAGCACAGGTAGGCTATACTGCCCTCTAGGGGTGCCATCATATAACTTTTGTTTTTATCATAGCTCCTTAATTTATGTACCGATAATGTTTATTATACAAGTCCAATATGAGAGGTGTTTTTGTTCAGGGTATTTCTCTTAACACTTGACTAGGGAGGATGAGGTGAATATAGTTTCTGATGCAGAATATTCAGTCACTACATCTGTCGTATCCTAGGTACGTGAACACACTAAATTGAGGGGCTAAATCCATTGGGTAAAATTTAATCATCAACAGATACAACTTTGGGGGAACTTTTGGTTAAGGTCTGCATGTGCTTTGGCCCACCTTTGTAGATCATTACACATTAAATTGCCATAATATTATTATGATAGAAAGATAGTCACACAGATCTGTCAAGTAGTCCCATACATAGAGTCAACAATTCAGTGTCTGGACATTTAACAAAAATTATTATAAATAATAAATTGATATTATTAATATATATTTTGTTTTTAAAATGTTCAATTACGTCTATACTTGTAGGCTGTTCATTCTAAGTACATTGTTGAAGGCTGCAAGTACAGCATCGGTGTCGACTCAGATACACGCAAACAGATTTACAGAGAGATAGACCCGCCATTTGAGGAACTATTTGATTCCGCGGAAGAACACATCCTGCAGTTACTGGTTATGCCATGGACATTGATGTCTGGCAGTGATAAGGCACTCTATCAGAAGGTATAGTTAAATACTAATGCAGTCTTTTATTAATTTCTGAATAATGATGAAATTTAAAATTTTGGCTAATTATCTATTTGTCAATAAATTACACCTTTATGTCACTTAGTCCACACTTGGGTGCATCTTAAATTTTGTTTATTTACAGAATCTAATAAAGGAAAATAAATGAATTAAATCAATACCAAAAATTAATTCTTCGAGTGACATCATTTTTCTCACCCAATTTGTATGCAATATTTTTTATTTTTATTAATTTTGAATTAAATTATGCAAGTTTATTTTCTAATTGATGGCATAAGGTGATGCCACTAAAGTAGTTTTATGCATAGATGTAGTAAGTAATTAACTTTGCTGGAATTTACTTGCATTTATTCTACAGATTGAATTAGTTGAAGAAAAGCGCCACCTAGAGACCAGTAAGTCCAAGCATTTGAAGTCGTTACAGCGAAGGGGACTCTTTAAGGAAGTGAGTGTAAATTACTGAATGAATGATTAATTAAAATGTTTCCCTCTAGTGGTGATGTTTGCTGCTGTTTTTGTTTTTTGGCAAATGATATTCTGCCTCTGGTAGCCATTTTGTGTGTCTGCTGTTGCCATTGTTTTTAGGCAAACGTTAAACTGCCCCTAGTGGTGATTTCATTTTTTGTTGCTGCCTTTGTTTTTGAGAAAATGTTGTACTGCCCCCAAATGGTCATTTTATGTTTTGGTTTGTATTTGTTTTTATGAGAAAGAAAGTGAAAGATATTTTGTGACAATTTCCTTCTTTGACAGCGTGTCGCAACTCCTGAATTTATCGATGAAGACACAAAACGTGAAGCATACTTCCTATCTTTAGAGGACAGAGTTCCAGAAGAATTCAAAGACTTTTCTTTCAATACATTGATTCACAACAGATTGGAATTGGAGCAGTTTAGACTATTTTTAAGTGAGTCTAATTTTGATATTATTATTTTACACCGAATAAAAAGTAGCTCATTAGGTTTTAGTAGTCATTAGTAATTATTAGTTTTCATTAATCAATTGTTCTGTCTAATAATAACTAATATTGATCAGTAGTTACTGGTAATCACTAGCAATTTCTCGTAATTACTAGTTGTGTATAGTAAACACTAGCATATTGAAATCATCAGAAGTGATCAGCATCCACTAGTTTTGTCAAGGTATTGCTGGTAGAGCCTAGTAATCATTAGTAGTTACCAGTACTCACTAGTTGTAACTGGTAATCATTGGTAGTAATTAATGGCATACTTAAATAAGATTTTGAAATAATAATGATTACCAAAATTGAAACTCTGAAATAAACCAAATCTGCAATTAAAATGTAATATGGCAACCATGAGTTTTGTGATAAATGTTTTCTATTAAAATGTGCACCCTAGATGATAACTATGCCAGTATGGACCTGATGTGCTGGTTGGATATTGAGGCATTCCGTAGGATTCCACATTCAGACAACGAGAGACGAGATGAAAAAGCCAAAGAAATTAAACAGAAATATTTGAATAAGAAATACTTTTTTGGTCCAAACAGTCCGGCTGGTAAGGAGGGACAAAATAAGGTGAGACAATAAATAATATTTTGTGAATTATAAGTCATATCTAATGGTCACCTGTATAGAGGGCCTTGGTCATCCATAACTGACCTGTCTCAATGGCTCGGAGGGTCAAGGTGGAACAAAAATGATATTTTATCAGCTGTTAGTCAAACTCGTGTGAACGTCATCCAAAACTCAATATAATATAATTGTTGAAATATTTAAAAGTAAAAATAGCAGTAGAAAAGTGGTTGAATATGTAGAATATGTGTATGGTGCAATGCTTCTTGTATCAAGAAGGCTGCAGATTTGATTCCTAAATTCTGCCCAGAGACAAGTTGTACTTGGGAGAATCTGATCAGATAAGGTGAAAGAGAAAGTCAGTTAGTTATGAATTCATGTAAGTACTTAAAGAGCGGTGGTCGTTGCGCCATGTCCTGTTCAATATGGGACTCATAGCAATGTATACAACGCATGTAAAATACATTGTTTATTTACATGAAATTCAAACACGCTCTGCACGATGACCACCACGCTTTAATAATATGAATACAGTCTGTCTGAAAAATTTATTTTGATATGAGAGTAATATTGTTTGTAGGTAATGCAAGCCGGTGGTGGATGGGGTAAAATATTACAAGACAGACCACCGACACCGGTACTGCTCGAAGTACAGAAATATGTACGAGAGAGACTTGAAAGACGATGGCTGCCGATGTTTATCTGTACGTCAGACTTCCAGGAAAGACAACACCCGCAAGTTAAGATGGATGAAGTTGTTGATGATGTCATGATGAATAAACGCAAAAAGACTCAACAAGTTTGGAAGGTAAGATAAGTTGTATACTGACATAGAGGGCGCTGTCATCCAAAGGAGCCGCTGTCCAACTAAGCAAGTTGTTAGTGAGAAAATATCAATTATTTCAGAATCTTGGAGGGTTAAATCAAAATTTGAAAGGTGTCTCAAGTTCAAATTTCACACGTATATCAGATATTATATAGGACATATGCACGTGCATTTGTTTCATGGTCTAGCTACTTTATGGTGGCCAAATAGCAGTCTTTTTAACAAAATGAATCAAAATCACAATTTTCAGCATTCTGCAACCACTTCAAGTCAAATATCTAGTGCCTATATAACAAACAGGGATTACATTATTGACAATGATTTGTTTTAAACAGTTTTTCCTTCAGACTCTCAAATTCAAATCCACTTTTAAGTAGAAAATAATTTCTTTTACTTTCCACTATTTTTTCAGAATTTGCTGAAATTTAGTGTAAGTGGGTGTGTGTGTCATTCAACTGCACTGTCCCGAAAAATAACATTATTATTATTTACTTCTGTGCTTTTTCAATTCATCTGTTTTCTTCCATCAAGCTTCTTATGATTAGGACAAATATCATTGTCAAATTCTCATATTAAATTTTAGTATTCTGTTATAATTATTATTTTAGCATACAAATGAAATATTTGTTCATAATATCATATGGTTTGCGGTTTATGCAAAACCACTCAAGCAAAGTTTTCAGTTTTTTTTGTTCAATATTTTTTTACATTTTTGTTGCTTTATTTCAATTTTATTTTAATGCACTATGCCACACCAGGCTGTTTGCCACAAAGTTGTATTGCTTATACGACAAAAGAAACGACAATCATTGTTTATTAAGGTACTTGTGATCTTTAGAACACTCCCTGTGTGTCTTGTATTACATCAATGCACTTCTCATTGGCTGCTGCAGTTATTTGTTTTGCAGGCATTTATTAAATATTTATTTTCAAAAATACATTAATTTCATTTAACTTGACAACCTGAACTCAGTGAGCAAAGTAACTTCACTGAATTAAAGCCCACTTATCTTTCTCTCTTTGAACACAAGAATATAAAGCCCTTTATCTTTATGAACATAAAATCACTTAAAATTCACTGAATTGAATACCTTTATTTTTTGTTTTATTTCTGTTAAGAACAAAATATTTTGAATTCATCCAATTAAAACCCTTTATCGTTACCTCCGAAAAAAAAAATATATTGAATTAACTGAGTTAAAACCCCTTTTTTCTTCACAAACTCAAATATACAAATGTACATTCAATTCACTCAATTGAAAGATTTCATATTTTTTTCCTTAAATCAGATTGTTTTATTAATACATAATTCCGTGGTTGTTTGACTGACTGGCGATTGGTCAAAGTAAACAAATGCAAAACAAACAACTCATTTAAAGTGGCCTAATTTTATAACTACATTATCATCTCATTTTCAGATCATGACATCATATTATCATGCATGAGGGTTGTTCATTTCAAATCCTTATCGTATTTTTATTTTTGAAGTGAAATTATTCACAAAAACATTTTCCGTTAACTCCAGTGTATATCAAGTTCTTGTCATAATCACTACTCACATGGTTCTTTGGACATAGATTATTGTGAAATTTTAGGGAAGTTCAAAAAATTGTTTAAAATTACTTTTTCAACAGAGAATTGGATGATACAAACTGCACTCCAAAATTGCTGTTAAAAATTAATTTGAGAAATTATAGGTTTCACACCCCAATTACAATTTGTATCACCAATAAACACCTCGTTTTGGGAGAAAAACAACTTTTTTGCAATAGATGGCATGATTTTTAAACAGTTCAATTTAAATACCAAAATAACCAAGTTAAATACTGAAGAAAATGTTGTCATTTTGGTTAAAATTTTGGCCTCAATTTTAGGACTCAATGCATTTGGGCTCTAATGTGTAAAATAGCCCTGCGTTGTTAGTTTTACCTGCATCAAATCAGCAATATATTATAAATGAAATCTTACACATACATTGGCAATGTTAATTATCACTCATTATTATTCAGAGAGGAGTAGAAATCTAATCCATTCATTATTCACCATTAAGTTTCACCGTCATAGTATTGTACTAGTCAGATATATTGACTTCAACCAATTAAAAAAAAAATCAAAATTAAAACAGAAATAAAAAAAATGCATTAAAAATATTCTAAACAACATCATGCTGAAAATATAAATCTTGCTTAAAACTAAATTAGAAACAACAAATTTTCAGTCCATTTGTTTCTAATGGTCAATCAACATCCATAATAATAACTTGGTATTTCTAAGTGCATCGACTCTCACAGATAAATTAAAACCTTTGCGTTCTCTTCCTGAATTCCCTCTATACCTTGATGTGGGATGTGAATGACAGGTCACCGGGGTAACGCAGTGATTAGAAAATAAAACTGCACAACTTATAATTATGCATGTTTCCAATATGGCTGCTGTGATAGCCCCCTCTGGTGTTCAGTTATTGCTAACACTAATTTATATTTTCTTTCTTCTGTATAGATGTTGGAAAGTCGATGGGTGTCGTCATCCCGAGATATCATAGCATTCCGCAAAGTCTTGATGAATCCAGTGTCCTGCATGCATTTCAGGAAGTTTGTGTCCGTGAGGGGCGAGAATTTAGAGAACGACGTTCTCTTCTGGTTAGAAGTGCAAAGATACAAGGTGAGATAATCGAACACAAAATAAACGACTATTTAGAGAATTGTATGTCAAAATGAATCATCATTGATTTCCACAACACTTTTACAAAGACGAAACAAAGACGAAAATATGCACACTTACAATATAATTTACATACAGCGTTATTTATGATATACAATTATTAGAGTCTGTGAGAACACTGTCAAAGTCAAGCAATTCATCGTTATCTTGAATGTTTGTATGCAAACTTTCGATGAAAAGCTATTTCTGCCATGATGTGCATGGTGATACGCAATGCGATCGAACAAGTTCCATGTGCATGTCGATTGAACACATTTCAACCATGAATGCAGTGGACATTTGGGGGATCTCTGCAGAAATGAGCTAGATTATTGGTGTATTCAAGAACGAAAAATGAACGTAAACAGCAAAGACACTAGCAGCAAACTAGTGCACAGAATCACTCATTTGCATTATAATTTCTGGAAATGTTCATTGGTCTTATGATTTTGTGAGCATATCCAAATTCGTGTGACTTTTTCAATTCATGTGAGAACTTCATTGCACACCGGTACCATCACATACCAGTACCGCATCACATACTGGTATTTTATCACGTACCAGTACCACATCACATACCAGTACCGCATCACATACCAGTATCACATCACATACCAGTACTGCATCACATACCAGTACCGCATCACATACTGGTATTGCATCACATACCAGTACCACATCACATACCAGTACCACATCACATACTAGTACCACAGCACATATCAGTATTGCATCACATACCAGTATCGCATCACATACCAGTACCGCATCACATACCGATACCGCATCACATACTGGTATTGCATCACATACCAGTACTACATCACATACCAGTACCGCATCACATACCAGTACCACAGCACATACCAGTATTGCATCACATACCAGTATCGCATCACATACCAGTACCGCATCACATACCAGTACCGCATCACATACCAGTACCGCATCACATACCAGTATTGCATCACATACCAGTACCGCATCACATACTGGTATTGTATCACGTACCAGTACCACATCACATACCAGTACCGCATCACATACCAGTATCACATCACATACCAGTACTGCATCACATACCAGTACCGCATCACATACTGGTATTGCATCACATACCAGTACCACATCACATACCAGTACCACATCACATACCAGTACCACATCACATACTAGTACCACAGCACATACCTGTACCACATCACATACCAGTAATGCATCACATACCT